AAGGAGACCGCGAACAGGAGTTACCAGGAATCACAGAATCCCAGCATGGTGTGGTTGCAAGGGACCTCTGGAGATCATCTCATCCAACCCCCTGGTCCAGCAGGTCACCCACAGCAGGGTGCCCAGGATGGCATCCAGTCGGGTTTGGAATCTCTCCAGAGGAGACTCCACAACCTCTCTGGGCAGCCTGCTCCAGGCTCGGCCACCCTCACAGGAAAATTCCTCCTCCTTCTTCAGATGCAGCCTCATTCAGCAGCAGGCCCACATTTTCCCAGGGCTTCCTTTTGCTACTGCTGTACTTGAAGAAGCCCTTCTTGTTGTCTTTGACATCATTTGCGAGATTTAAGAGGTTCTCAGCCTTCTTCCTTGCATCCCTGTATATTCCAACAATGTTCCTATATTTCTCCCAAGTGGCCAGTCCCTTCTTCCACATTCTGTGCCTTGCTCACCCAAACCCTGCCTGTGAACCTGCCTCCCTGCTTGGCCTTGGACCTGCCTCATTGTTACTGGATGGTGGTGAACCTTGGACTTGCTCAGCTCACTTTGCTGTGGTATGGTGGCAGTGCTGCTCTCTAACACTTCTTCATCCTGAGGAGAGAGAAGAGTTTCTCAGGCTCTGGAGCAGTCCACAGGCTGAGGAAAAATGCTTGGCAAGACTCCGCTACTGTGGTGGCTGTGGCTGTCTGGGCCTTCAGCTCTTTGAGGCCTGGACATCTGGGACCCCACTGCAGAGCTGGCTGTAAAGCTCCACTCCCCATCCCATACATCTGCCCTGAGTGGAGAAGCGGTGGAGAAGGGAGAAGGTAGAGCAAGAGCAGTGCCAGCCACGTGCCAGCAAATGCTGGTCGAGGTCAGGCACCTCTCCATGACAGTTAGGCTTGGGACTAGACTCGGGGCAATGCCTGTCACCCATCTCTGCTCCCACCTGAACCGATCGGTGCTGACCGGGAGCTCAAGGGGCAGCCGGTGGTGGTCCTCTCTGTGCCAGCTTGGGCAGCAAGCTTCCAGTTCTGAGTTCTGATTTCCTTGCCTCTGATACAGCGCTAACTGCGATCCTGGCTGGTGGCAGCGGCTACACCTCACTGTGTTCTTGGCCCGGCTTTGCCCTCGAGCCGTGGCAGGAGCCGAGCCTCTGGCCACGGTTTGCTGCGATGAGGCTGCACCGTCAGGTTTCGTCTGGGCTTGTGCTTGGCTCTGTGCCTGTCCCCTGCTTATACTAGCTGAGCTCCTCAGCCCACCCCAGTTGAAGATGGTGATGGGCAAGCACAAGAAACACCCATTTGGGACAGGAATGGGATGTGAGGAAGGAGAGAGTGTGTGCATGCCATGAGGATCCCCAGTGGATTTCAGTTCACTTCAGTTTTGGGCACCTCCCTCCAAGAAGGACCTTGAGGGGCTGGAGTGTGGCCAGAGAAGGGCAACGGAGCTGGGGAAGGGTCTAGATCCCAAGTGTGGTGAGGAGCAGCTGAGGAACCTGGGGGTGCTGAGCCTGGAGCAAAGGAGGCTCAGGGGAGACCTGGCTCTCAAAGGAGGCTGGAGCCAGGTGGGGATCTGTCTCTTCTCCCAAGAAACAAGTGACAGGACAAGAGGAAATAGCCTCAAGTTGCACCAGGAGAGGTTGAGGTTGGAGCTGAGGAACAATTTCTTCCCCTTGAGAGTTGTCCAGGGCTGTGCCAGGCTTCCCAGGGCAGGGATGGAGTCCCCACCCCTGGAGGGGTTTCCAAACAGTGGAGATGTGGTGCTGAGGGACACGGGTCAGTGGGGACCTGGCAGTGCTGGGGGAATGCTTGGACTTGATGATCTGAAAGGTCTCTTCCAACCAGAATGAATCTGTGATACTGTGATGTGTAGACAGAAGCTCTGGGGGCTGGGGCTGGCTTTGCAGCTCCCACATCTCCTCCTGGCTGCTGAGCTCAGCCCCAATGCCATGCACTTCAGCAGGTGCCCACAGGGCCTGTAGAAACGTTGGCCCAGACCAGGAGGGGGGTGATCTGGACCCACACCTCCTGCCCACACCACAGGGTCATCCTCTGGGGTGCAGTGCTCCCCGCACCCATGGATGCATCTCCTGCCCGGGGCAGCAGGTCCCTTGCCGTGGTGGCACAGCTCTTCCCTTCCCCTCTTGGCACATCCTGGAGGCCTTGGCAAAGCTCCACGGCACCTCTGCAGACCTGCAAGCCGAGAGGAGCTGGCTCTTCGCAGTGGCCTTTGCTGTCACAGAGCCTCCCTCAAGAGCCCTTTCATCTGCCAGTTTTGTCTTCTGCACAGATGTGGCACCCAGAGATTAGGCTGCAGATTAAGGTTTTACTGAATCCTGAAATGGGTTCCAGTTCCCAGTCCCAGCAGGACCGACGTGCAGGCAATCTCCTCTGTAAGCTTGCTGCGCTGGACCTGAGGAGAGGCATCTCCTACCACCTTCCCCTGTGCGTGCAAAGGTGGAGCCTGGATGTTCACTTGCGGTGCTTTGCTGAGAGGCAGCTGCCAGGTAAGAGCTGGTTTATCCTGGGAAGAAAAGCTCAGGAGAGATGGAAGAACTGGAGCCCTTTCACGAGTGGCTTTTAGATGAGTGAGAAATAAGCTGTGGTTGATCCCTCTTTACTCAGGGTCATGCTGAGGGCAGAAGGTCTCAGCACAAAGTGCACCTCCAGGCCGGGAGAGTGGTACCAGCCCATCTGGGCCAGAAAATGCTGTCCTGCAGGGCTCACAGGTAGCCCTGGAGCCTTGCCACATGGGCACCGGGTGAAGGCAAGGGCGTCTGGGTGCTCACTGGCCCTGGGCTTCTGGTTGCCTGGGAGCCTGAGCAGGTCCTAGGGGCCTTTTGAATCCCAGAGGCTTCAGAGGGTGGTGAAGGGGCTGGGTTGTAGGCTCTCTGTGCTGTGATGTGCCAGCTGGGGTTAGCAGTGCTGCCAGGTCTCCTTGGGGGGCTGTGAAGCACGTGGCTCCTCAGGCTTCATGTGGCTGGGCTGCTGGTGGCCAATGGTAGCTGACTTCAGGGTGAGAGCTTTCCAGGCTGCCTTCTTCCCAGCAGAAACTGCAGCCATCTGGGCTTTCATCTGACTCCTACAAGTAGCACACCCAGGTTTTTCTCCTTCCACTCGGAGATGAACACTGGGTGGTGGGCCTACAGTTCTGAGATGAGCCCAAGGAGCTCTCCGTGGAGCAAATGGGGCTGAAGAGCAGCACTGTCATGTCGGAGCCCTTGGAGCTGCTCTTCAGCCAGGCTCCTAGCAGCGTCTGCTGCTGTGCCACATTGCCCACAGGAGCTGCCTTCTCACCTGCTGGGAGCCCCACGTACTCAGTCGCCCACCCACGCCACAGCTCTTGTGCCAGGCATGTGAAGTGGTGGTGTAGATGTCCAGCTGTTTGCCTCAGGATGCTCCTCAGGCGCCTCTGCCTCCCAGGCTAGGGTCTACCTGGGGCACCCGTCTGCCTGCTGAAGAGTGAAGCGTTGGCCCAGGGCTTCTCCCAGCTCAAGGAGGTGCAAGTTGCCTGAGCATGGCCATTCCCTTGGGAGCCATGGGCAGAGGAAGGTGCACCCAGAACCTTCAGGATGGGAGCTGCAAGCACAGATAGGACTAAGGTAAAAGAAAGGATAGGTAAAAAGATGAGGGCAGACAAGGGTGGGAGCACCCAGCCCCTTCCATCAGCGTCTCTCCATCCCAGAAGCCCTCGGCAGCCTGGGCTGCTCCCCCAGCAGCGTGGGCAGCATGGCAGGGAGGGGATCCTGCCCCTCTGCCCCGCTCTGGGGAGACCCCCCTGCAGTGCTGGGGCAGCTCTGGAGTCCTCAGCACAGCAGAGACAGGGACCTGCTGGAGCAGGGCCAGAGGAGCCCCAGAAATGACCCAAGGGGGGGACCCCTCTGCTGGGAGCCCAGCAGGAGAGAGTTGGGCTTGGGCAGCCTGCAGAGGAGAAGGCTCCAGCTGGGGAGATCTTATTCCAACCTTTTGGTACTTAGAGAAAGCCACCAGCATCCTGGCCTGGATCAAAACCAGTGCATCCAGCAGCAGTAGTGGAATGAGCTTGCCCTTGGACTCGGCACAGGGGAGGCCACAGCTTGAATGCTGGGGACAGTTTGGGGCACCACAGTTCATTTTAGGCACCATCTTGAGGGGCTGGAGTGGGTCCAGAGAAGGGTAACAAAGCTGGTGAGGGCTCTGGCAAACATGGCTTGTGATGAGCAGCTGAGGGACCTGGGGGTGTTGAGCCTGGAGAAGAGGAGGCTCGGGGGAGACCTTCTGGCTCTCTACAGCTCATTGACAGGAGGTTGGAGTGAGGTGGGGATTGGTCTCTTCTCCCAAGTAACCAGAGATAGGATGAGAGGGAATGGGCTGAAGTTGCGCCAGGGGAGGTTTCAAATGGATATGAGGCAGAATTTCTTTCCTGGCAGTGGTGAGATATTGTCCCAAGCTGCCCAGGGAGGTGATGGAGTCCCCATCCCTGGAGGAGTTCAACAAATGTGTAGACATGGTACTTCAGGACATGGTTTAGTGGTCATGGTGGTGTTGGGTTGATGGTTGGACTTGGTGATCTTAGAGGTCTTTTCCAACCTTAATGATCCTATGAGTCTATGAAAACAAAGGTGGTCATGTGTGACTACAGAGTGGGTCGATCAGGCAGGAGAGAACCCTGGAAGTCCTGCACATACTCCTTGTGCCTGCAGAAGCCATCAGATGAGTCAGGCCACGCTGGCTGGCTGGCTTTCCAAAGCCCCATCCAACACCATGGCATGTCCAAGGGCAGGCTGCAGATCCTGCCCAAGATTCAGGACAACACAACTCGCCCCAGAGGCAAATGCTTTATGTGACACAACATCAAAGCAGATGAAGACAAATACACCCACGGAATAATACAAGAGAGAGACATAACAAAGAAAACGTGAAGCATGTCACAGGACCATGGTTTGAGTCAGCTCTTCCCATGAACACGCCACACAGGAGGTTCTGGGGATGAGGGCTTGGGGAGGGGGACAGGAGCCTGGGGTACCGGGCAGCACGGAGGCTTTAGAAGCAGTCACTGCGCAGGGGCTGCGGCAGGTCCGAGGCGCTGATCTGGAGGTTGAGCTCCGTGGAGTCGAGGGCTGTGGCAGGGCTGTGCGTGTGGTTCTCCTCGTGGACAGCAAACTCCTCATGGTGCTGCTGCCACAGGTGCCAGAGGATCTCTCGGGACAAGAAGTTGGTCTCTGCCTCTTCTGGCTCTGGAACAGAAGAAAGACAAAACCCACTTTTGCTGGCAAGGCCAGAGGTGGGGGTCCGGGCAGGGAGCTGAGTCTCTGGGAGATGACCCAAAATACACAGATTGTACTGAGAAGTCAAAATATGGTTCCCCTTTCCGCATGACAGAAGAAAGGAATTAAAACACAAAGTGCAGGAAGGAGAGTGAAATGCAAGCACCACAAGCTGGATTCCCAGCAGTGCTTGTGATGGGAACTACCTCACCAGCCAGAAAAGCTTCTCCCCATCAGGGAGAGAGCTGAATTTCCTCTGAAAACCAACCAGAGTCATTTCAGCAAGGAGCAGCAGATGATTTCAAGCCCCTTCTGCTATTGTGGACATGAGGAGGAGAAAGGAAGATGGGGAGAAAGGGAAGCCTCGCTCCTCCCCATCCCCTGTCAGGAAGGATGTCCTGAGCCTGCACACACTCGTGCGCCTGTCCCACTGCCTGAGAGGGCTTGACAGCTCCAGCTACTTCTCCCAGGACCATCAGGGAGCTGCTCTTTCCTCTGGAAGCCCACCATTATACTTAACTCTTGAGGAAGCATTCTTGCTGCCCCAGCAGAAGATTGCTTGTCTTAGGTGCCTTTTGGGACTTCAACAGGGACCAGCTCTGCCAGCTCCTGCTCCTCTTAGACCCACAGCAAGAAGTTCTTTTGTGTCAGGAGGCAGCTCCTCCCACCCTACCAGAGCAGGGACCCCTCCTGGTCATCTGAGCGGGATTATCAGCCAAGTGCTCCACAGATCCTGCCCACTAAGAATAAGAATTGTTTAGATTGGAGGAGACCTTTCAGATCATTGAGTCCAACTGTAAACCCAACTCTACCAAGTCCAACACTAAACCATGTCCCTCAGCACCACATCTCCACGGCTTGAAAACCGCTCCAGGGATGGGGACTCCACCACTGCCCTGGACAGCCTGGCACAGGCCTCCACAATCCTCAAGGGGAAAAAATTGTTCCTCAGCTCCAACCTAAACCTCTCCTGGTGCAACTTGAGGTCGGTTCCTCTTGTCCTGTCCTTGGGAGAAGAGCCCAACCCCACCTGGCTCCAACCTCCTGTCAGGGAGTTGTGGAGAGCGAGAAGTTCTCCCCTTGTTTGCCCCATTCTGAGGTCACTCAAGGGGTTGGGAGAGCACAACCACCATGCTGGGCACCCCCACCCTCCTCCCCTCCTCACTCACCCTCATATGCGATGAGCCGGTAGGTACCCACACATTCCTTGGAGCCTTTCAGGATGTCCTCCAAGGTCCTGTAGAAAAGCTTGGCCTGCTCCAGGCGGTCCTCCCGGCTGAAGGCAGCACACTCATCCTGGGACATGGCGTAGAGGGACTGCAGCGGGGTGGCAAACTCCAGGGCACAGTGCCAGAGCTGTAGGGATGAAAAAAAAAAAGCTATGGGGAGTGGGAGGACCAACACCCAGGTGCTGGGCAGAGCCCCCGAGACCCCTCAGTAGCAGTGCCGTGACTGCCGGGACAGGGACCCCGGTTCTGTCCACAGCGTCCCCTGCCCTGTGCCGAGCAGGGGAGGACAGTGGGCCTGGCAGTTACAGCTGTGCCCACCGGGCTCAGGGAGCTGCCTCCTGCCCAGGCTCCCAGCCACAGCCTCACTGGTGGTTTTCTTCATGGAGTTCATTCCCTATGGAGACAGCCCTTGCCTGTGTCTAATGACACCTTCTTGGTGGCTTTTCTGCGAGACAAGGGGTAGGCTGAGCATCCTGATGGAGAGGAGAATGGAGAGGAGGACAAGTGCTGGCAAGGGGAATGTGCAGCTAGAAGGAGGCTGGTGAAAGTAATGAGAGATCTGATAAGGCCATAACAATGCCAAGGAGGAGCAGGGTCTAAGAGCACTAAAGCTTTTACTGGGCAACCTGGGAAGTTTAGTAAAGCCTGTGAGGAGGAAGAGGGATGGGATCCCTGGGTGAATGCAGAGCGGCAGGAAGAGCAACCAGCCCTGGCAGGCGGTGAACCCAGTGACCCAGAGCAGGTTGCTGGGTCAAGTCACTCAGCAGGAGACTGGCAGATGAAACACATGGTAGTGGGCAAAGCCCAAACCTGACTGGACTTCCCCAGGAGCAGGGCGAGGAAGGAGGCTCTGGAGTCCCTGCAGATGGGTCTTCAAAACCAGCAGCTCAGTGCTGAGCCAGCGGCAAAAGGCAAATTAGGGGGAGCTGGGTGAGGAGCATTGCTTTCCTGACACCTTCAGCCACAGCCATGACAGCAGGACCCAGAGTTCCCTTCTCCAGGGGTGCAGGGGCTCATCTGCCTGGAGATGTGAGCCAGAGGTTTAGGGCTCATCAGCCCAGAAAAGAGGTGTCTGGGGGAATGGGGGAGAGTCAAATTATATAATGACTCACGTAGACATTTGCAAGCACCTCTTCACACCAAAAGGAAACATTTGTTTGTCCCATGGCAAGTGATGGTCTGGACCCCACATCTGCCTTTTTTCTGCTCAGATTTCTGCTATTTTCTGGACATAAATCAACTCCAACTGGGATCGATGGGCCAAGGTCAATTGTATGAGGTTTGACAAGTGCTGGGTCCTGTCCTGA